ATTTTAAATTGCATATTTTGCATAAAAAGGTTATTGAATCGATGCAAGTTGTCACGGGGGGATCCGATGGTGGCTGAAGTTTTGTGCTACGTCATCTAGAGCGGCTAAAAATGGAGCTTGAATACATGAGGTAATACATTTTGAGGTCATCAATAGCGCCCTTGAGGATCTATTATACCTATCTGTAATATTATATGCAGGTATAATACAGCCCAAGTTTGTGGCGAATGTTAAAAAAGAAAATACTTGAAATGTCTTTGCACCACAGCTCGTCGTCATATCAAAGAGCTGCTAAATACCTGCTGCGCGTCGAGAAACTGATATTTTCTTTGAAAATTTGCTCTTATATCGCCAGCTTTGGTACTCCGCTCGCGATCCACGCTCAATGACTGACAAGGCCCTGGTGGCGCAGTCGGTTAGGGCGTCGACCCGCGGTGCGGGCGGTGCCGGGTTTCGGGTTCGATTCCCGGTTCCGCCCGTTCCGCGGGCGTCGTCCCCGGCTGTGTCACCAGGTGTGGAGTAGGCTCCCACTTCAGCCGTAGCCTGGGGGGTGTGGGAACAAGGGCCAGGAGGAGGAGGAGCCCTCCTGTAATTGGGCCACAAGTGCCTGTTGGAGGGAGGCCTAAATAAAAAAAAGGTAATCTCCTCGAGGATATCGCTAGCGAAATTCCAGCAGAAATGAAGGAAAACGAAAAGTCGAGTAGGGTGCCGGTGCGCCAAATGGTTCTGGCTGAATTCGGATCGGACCGCGAGCGAAACGCCTAGTGGATGGCGGCCATTACAGATGCAGGTTGAGCTGAATAATACAGATGTACCGTTTGTTTTATGCAGGATGCTTCTAGGTCAAATGACATTTGAAATGACTGCGTCATCATGAAGCACAATATGGAAAGGTAAAATATTCTACTTTGGGGTCAAATGTTGGGATATCTTACTGATTTTCGGCACATTACTTCAGGGTTACTTTTACAGGAAAAGTTGAGAGGGGGAATAAAGTTCGGGGCAAAGGCGGATCCAGGGGCATCTGAAAGGGGGGTGGGCGGCAATACCATTAGGTTTTTCGTTAGGATGGAGCCCGCAGAACCTTACCTACCCCCAAATCCTATTCTTTCCTCGGGTTTCAGCCACTTTATTTTGGAAGGTTGCCAAAAAATAATTTTGCTAAAAAATATACGCACCTACCTTGGCTGTAAGGGGCGGGGGAGGTCCCAACTTGACTGCGCCCTTGCAAATGCCAATCAGTAGTATCAACCTATCAGTGGTATCAATAACTAGTAGGTATACCCCGGCCAAACATTAAGTAACGCCTTTCTAAAGAGAGAGGTTAATCCGCGCCCTGATTGGAGGTCATTTTGGCCCCCATGTGGGTTTTCTTGAAAAGCGAAAAACAGCGGCGCGCAGCGCCGCCAAATTTTTAGTACCTTACCGGGCATCAATTTGAAACCTTCGCACAAAATTTCAAGTCTTAGGTCACCTTAGGTCAGGAGTAATTGATGTCAAACTGTTCGAGCAAAAATGAGCAAAAAACATGAAATTCTTAAACGCTCACAAAAGCTACAGTTAACGAGCAATTCCAAAGTTCTTTGTGTGGTCGTGTATGTAGAGAAACGACGGCGCTACAAAACTGCAACCTCTACAACTACAAGGTGGGCAGTGATATCCGAACAAAAACTAATGAAGCACAAAACTTGAATTATTACTATTAGTATTAGTGAGCAGTGAAAGTTCCATTGGGAAAGCCGGCTGTGATGAGGTACTTTTTTTGCGCCCTGCTCTGCATGCAAAGCAGATGAACGTGAATGCTGCATAAAGAGAAAAGTCATTTATTACTCAAAGCTTTGATGCCTATGGGACAAAAATAACGTTGTTTTTCCTTCAATGATTCCGGTTTGGAGGATGGTTAAACACGGCCATTGTCATATTGGGACAAAAATTTTAGATGTCTGGCCTTGGCGTCGATGAAAAAGTGAAAATAATCGTGAATAAATGGGTCGTTTCTGAGAAAGAACACAGAATATAAAAGGGGGTCCAAAAGGGGGTCACCTTCTTTTTGCGTCAAAGGAGGGGCCATGGCCCATTGCCCCCCTCCCCCTGTATCCACCCTTGGTTCGGAGAGGTAATCCCGTCCCCCGCCGGTTTCTACGCCGACGCCTGTACCGATATGTCAGTGATTGCGAAAAGACGGAAGAGACAAGACAAGAGACGGTCCCACCGACTATCCGATCGGTATCGGGTCAAATCTGGAGTTCCTGCTGCACTGAACGTAAAATGGTTGGATGGAACCGAAAATTGAAAATTAATAATTATCTTAACGCCAGCAACGTTGATTGATGACGAGAATCTGATTAACGATGACTATAGAATCTGAATAGCGAATTGATTGAAAATGGGCTCCAAAATAAATTTGAAAGGGGGAAATTCCCCCTTCCCTCCCTAGCCGTTCAGACACGATTTGAAAGGGGGAGCGGAATTTTCGAAGGGGGGAAATTCACCTCTTCCCCCCCTTTAAAAGTAACCCTGCATTACTTGACACTTCATGGCCAAGTCATATATTCTTTTTTATCTTTTTGACAACAATGATAAGATTTAAAAAGTGGATTTGACCGAGCCCCGTTGGCACAGTTGAAAGGCGCAGGGGGGGGGGGGGCGGGGGTAGATTCTGCCCGTGTCTAACTCCCAAACGGATGGTCATAGAAAGACGGGGAAACGACAATCGAAAGCTCTCAACAAGACGGACGTTTGCAGCGATGTTTTGCTTTAGTAGGTCACATTACAGGGAAAGTCAGGTCAAGGTTAACCCTCGCCCGCACATGGGGGAGGGGTTGCCACCCCCCCCCAGGTAGTTTTTCTGCTCTGCACTCAACATTTTTTTTTTAGCTAGCAGCCTGATTTTTCGTATAGCTGCTCCTCTATTCTTTCTTAATGTCCACTGACAATTTCAAGTTTCTGTCGTTTTTGGTTTCGGAGATATGACCTTGTTTTTCAGGTCATGTCATGACCCAAATGACCAATTCTCAACATCTTGCGTTGGCGATGGGCCTTGTGAGCTTTTGATACCTTGATTTCGTTTTTTTGCCAGTTTTACCTCCCACCTATCATGGAACATGTTGTTCGACGATGCACAGATGTCAAGGTCAGGGTCAAGGTCAAGCTAGATCATCTAAAATAATTGCGTTTTAGGCAAGCTGAATTTACTTTTCGTGAAGTTTTTTTTTACTGCATTTTTGGTAAAAGCTTCTCAGATCATGATTTCATGTAATATGGACACATAAACAATCGGTGCACACATCAGTAGGTATACACACAGACACACACAGATACAAACACATATCATTGACCTTGACCTAACTTGACCTGACATGACCTCAGCAGCAAAATCCTGGTCGGGTAGTGTGGCAAAGAGGTTCTAGCTGGCTTGGCACCAGAAAACGGCATCGTCATCGGTATATGATAAGCAGCACACTTGATATCCAACGGTGACCCAAAACAGCAACATTTTTTAGTTTGACCTGACCTGGAAGGTCAATGACTGACCTTAGAAGGTAAAACTTGGTATCATTGGATTTGTCTCTTCCCAAAGAATCTTTTTGGTCCTTATCGCGAAGCTCTATCTCCAACAGGAACGAAATGGCGCGGGGGGTGGCAACCCCCCCCCATGTGCGTTCTAGGATGGGAAAATGGCATGTGCGGGCGAGGATTAAATACTGCAAATGTCTACCTTACTGGCTTTGGAGCCCAGTTGGCGAAGAAGCTGAACCCAAAACGCGTTTATAGGCTACCAAGCCAAGATGCATTGTGCACAATGTCATGCATGGGTCAAGGACAAGGTCAGGTCAGGTCATTAAATACAAACTATAGAATAGGTCAGGATATGTGTGATACATGGTATTGGGCCATTTTATTCCTACAATTCAATGGACATATTTAATTAGTGATGCATATATCCTACTTGAATGAAATTCGGGTTATTGAGGAAATGTCAAGGTCAGATCAAGCGAGGTTAAAGTTTGATGCCGGTGTTTGAGGCGCTCTTTATATTCCTGCTCAAGGTCTAAAACTCCCACTTTTTAGTTTGTGTGCGTAGTGACGTCACTAATATTTGAATTGCTCCTGCATATCTAAAATATTGCTTCTAAAAATTGTAATGCTGTGCACAGACCTTGTTTCCATTACACATTCCGCTTTTCCTTTAAGCTTTAAGTTTTGGGGTCTCTAAAGATTTCACCCAAAATATCGGGTATATATTTTTTCAAGTCGAATGTTTCAAAACCGAGATAAGCATTTAAATGAGAAACTGGAATCACGTATATGCTTTTGAAGCGTGCTAATGCCTTAAAAACTGTAATGCTTGTACATTAAAACCAGACATTCTTCAGAATATCTTGCCATTTTATAAGATTGTCTGGACGACCAGGAGAACAGAAAGCCTAGGCATTCTAACTATATATGTAATGTCCGATTCCACTGTTACCTGTATGCTACATATACCTATATGAACTATACATATACATAAACTATAATATGCATGCAAACGTACCATGAACAGGCGCATTGTGTGAGCTCTGGTCTGACGGGGAGTGCAGCCGGATACCAACTGTCGGCTGGCCCGCGCCTTCAGCCCTTGCAAACTCGTGTACCTGTTGACTCTCGTGTTTACGTACATTAAACCCGAGGGGACGATGCAAAACCAGTTTTGCCAGGCTTAGTAGGATGCTCTAGAATAATAGCACAACATCACGCAACTTGCATCTCCATTTAGTTGTTCCAGCAATACAACTAGCAATACAATGTACATTGTACATGCATAGGTATTTGTATGACATACATAAGCGATGCTATTTGTGACGTAGAAAAGAAATAAAGAAATAGCAATTATTGCTGGACTGCCTTTTCCGTGTTATCCAAAGAAATCTAAATGATTCAGTGTGATGAAATATCATACTAGATGCTAGAAAACATTCCAAAACATAGACGAAAGCCAGTGGAGCATACACAGCTTCAGAGTTGTAAAGTGAAGCAGAGTGTGAAGGCAGCAATGGCGCCAGAGAGACAATCGCATCCACCTGTACAGGTGAGCCATTGATGTATTACGTTGAAGGCTGGCTAGGACTTATTGGCTACGGCTGGACACAATTGCATTGATACCCATCCAGGAGTCTGACTTCCCGCGCGCTAAAAAGGCTACGCACCACTTCAGTCCGGCTCGCAGCTGACCGAAACAGCTACCCTGGTGGAACGGCCGGCCTTCAGGAGGTTATTTAGAGCACATATGGAGCGAGATGTGGATCAAGCTTAATTTGGAAGCAATGATACCTGATTTTAGGGTCTCAGGTCAATTTGTGACCTCTGGGCTTAGGCCAAGTGCCCCAAGGGACAAGTTCGGCTTTTGATGGCTCTTCATAGCCCCCCCTCCTAACTCTGAAACTACTGGGCCGATCGTCAAAATTCAAACAGTGTCTGATAGCCCCAGAAAAACTGTCGAACAAAACCTAATTTCATTGACCTCGAGGTCACTGCTGACGTCACAGATTAGGTCAAAGTAAAAATTATTAGCATTTTGGCTTGTTCACATTTTGGGCCCTGGCCGCCGTCTTACAAGTCAGATCAGGCTCATGTTTGGTTTACACATTCTTGAACAGATGCGCTAGATACCCTGAGGGTACCAAACTTGTACTTTGATTTTCAGGTTAGGGTCAGGTCATCACAGGTCACGGAAATATTATATCATGCGTCGGTCACGTGACACATGTTTTATGGTCCATTTAGGCCATATATTTCGAATTTGATGTCGTCTGTGTCAATGTGTCATTAAAGGTCATTTTGAGTCGAATTTAGCTTAGGTCAGGTCACTTTCAGGTCAAAAAAGGTCAAATTTTGAAGTTAAAATTTTCAACAAAAAAGTGTCTTTTGGATGCAGTTTGAGCTCAGGAACACGATGGTGCTATCTAAATTGGTGTACGATGCCAAATACGTACTTAAAAATTGATTTGAAAAATTAATAATTGTGAACTTTTTTGCAATAATGCGTATAACTTGGTCATTTTTGAAGATTTTTAGCTAAAACTTGCTAGAGTTAGTCATAAGCATGCGTTCTGTCACATATATTCCGTTTTTTTTTTCTCGAAAAACCATTTCTTTTTGAATTTTTTTTTGAATTTTATTATAAAAAAGTTTCAAAATTTTCAAAATTTTGAAAATCCGAGATAACAGTTTGATAGCGCAGTCAATTTTGAACCCTTGAGCCCTTTCGTGCAAAGAAATTAGATCTAGCTTAAAAACTGAGCTATTGGGAGCGATTGCCGTGGTTCAATGTTTTGCGTCGAAATCGGCCGAACATGACGTCACTCTGACGTCATTTCCGGCCGACCTATGGTAGGTACGAAGTTCAAATTTTGACACAAGGTGTCAAATAGATGAAGCCGAAGGTACTGAAAGTTTGGCGTTGATACGTCAAGCGGTTTGGAAGGTATTGCAGAAAAACGGGAGGGGGGCTATGAATAGCCCCCCCCCAGTGGGGCGCGGTTAATGCCTACTGGGAGGCTTGGGAGGCTACTATGTATCTTTTTGGTGGATCGAAAAAGCACATTTTTTATTGAAAGTTATCTTGAGACAAAATAGTTGATCCCAGATGCATAATATCAAGCACACTTTGCAGGCGAAAGGCAATTTCACGTGCACAGAATGAAAAACCGGGTCTTGCTACTGCCCACTGGAAGAAAATTGCCCTTTTACAAAACCGACCCATACCTCCCAGGTCACCCCTACATATGTTCCTATTACAGGTCACTGACAATACCAGGTCAGGTCACAGGTCAGGTCACCACGGGTCAGCACATGAACCCAACTTTACTATGGTTGTGTGATGCATGTTTTATGGCCAATTTTTCATTTCCAACTCAATGGTGTTGGTTATAAGACCATCAGGTACGATTTAGGTCACTTTCTGGTGGAGGTCAGGTAAAGGTCAGGTCAAAAAAGGTCAAATTTCAAAGTTGATAGTTTGGCATAAAATGGGCATTGATTCGATGCAGCTCAACACGGGATCTCTAATGGTGGTCTTTGTTGTGCGCTACGAGGTCTAGAATTGCTGAAAATTGATTTTGAAAATTTGACGTCATCAATTTTGAACAGTTTTTTCGCTATAAGTTGGCCAAAAAAGAGGTATCGATCTCAAATTTGGTATGTGTATAGAAGGCGGTAAGGACTATCACATACATTCCGTTTATTTTTGAAATTAAAAAAAAGATTTTCAAGCTATTATATTCAACGCGTAGTCCTTCCGCGTTCCAACTCGCGATGAGTAGTCGGCTTCTGTTCCGACGGTTCAGACGGTACCGTCTGTTCTTGGCCCGCCTGCTGCGGCCTCCCCAGGCTCCTCGCGCGCCGCGCCCGGTCGAGCCCCCGCCATCGGCGCTCATGGCGGGGGACGCTGGGTTCACTTAGTTAGGCGGACCGAGCCGCGCGCGCGCGGCCGGTCCGCAGGGTGTTGTGCCGAGGTCGGTCGGGTGTCGAGGTCGGTAGTTTCGAGCAGCTGAAGACGACGACCGGTGGCGCGTCGACCACCGGCATCCGCCCTGGGGAGGCGGTTGTCCCCCGTTTGGCTGGCTCGGGCGCTGTCCACGCACCGAGTCGGGGCGAAGCCCCACACCGTCCACCACTTGAAGGCGGGGGACCCCAGACGGCGGGTTAAGATATCGGTGGTAAACGCGTTCGGTCATACCAATACCCGAACACGCAAAAACTCCGTCGGCGATGAGATTTGAACCCATGACCTTCCTCTATATTTTCCAGTCGGAAGTTTTTTTTTACCCCCAAGGTACCAGTTGGGTATTTGTCGAATGATGCCGAAACAAGCACCAGTAGTTTTAGAATTGATAGCTCTATCAGTATAGCTTGAAGGTGGCGTACCCACTGATATCCCGCGCCGGGCCGGGGGGGTGTTTGAACACCCCCCCTGCGGTTTTTCGCAGATATCTCAAAAACGGCGGCGCGGAGCGCCGCCGTTTTTGGCACACCTGTTCGTTAGGGTTGTTAAAAAAACCGAATTTTGGAAAAGTATATGGGCTCATGGCTCATGTGGTGCGGTATTCTTTTCTGAGTCCAATGATACCCTTTTTTCCGAAAAGTATTACTGCTAGGCGCTGCTCAAACGGCTTAAAGAGGACCATGTCACGCCCGCCGACCGGCCGGTGTCAATAAGGGCGAGAATTCGACGCCGCGCGGCGGCGGCAGCGCCTTATCGGCACCGCGCGCCACGACATCTGCCGGGCGGCCGGCTGGGCGGTGGGAAGTTATAAGTGCGTGGTCTTATTGCACACGATCTGGGTGAGCTATCCCATGTTTTCGGGGCGGAAAGTTTCAGTGCAGCATCGGTGCGTCTGCCACGGTGGTCTGTGTCGATGGTATAGAAAATAACTCAAGCAGACCTCAGAAAAGACTGAATGATTCCGGGTAGTTGCCTCGAAGCAATCCGTTTCAAGAATACAGCTGCCTTCTTAACGTACTGTATCACTTGTTAGTTCTTCAAAAAGCAGGATCTGAGCAATAACAGACTTCTTTGCATTGCTGTTGACAATTTAAGTTGCTTTTGGACGGTGGCTCGCAGCCCCAATATGCTGCCGCATAACTCTATTCCAACGACGAAACGGCAACTTAGCGAGAATCGAAAATTTAACGAAGTAGGTACAACAGGAGCTGGCAAGGCTCCTGCATTGGTCTATCCGTCATGAGTGACACACCGGGGTAATGTGTCACGTCAGGGCAGAGCTGTGTTCTATGCCGGGTCTGGATTCGGGTCTTGATCGGCATCGGTGGGCACGGCCGCCCTGGCCGGACTGCCGGCGTCGCTTATGCTCGAAGGATTGGATAAACGGCGCTTGATTTATATGAGTAGGTACTCCGGCTAATGTCTCTACTCATGTCTCACTTCGTCACACTGTCAGGGTGGCCACCCTGTCACTCCCAGACATGCTATGTTTTCTTTCGACCCGCTAATCTAAGTTAAACCTGGCGTCCAGTGCTGGCGTCGATTCTGTTGCCCCAGCATCTGACATTAACGTATCTGAATAATGACGTTGGTGACGCCTATGCTCGTCAAAGCCACCCCCAAACTTGGGCCGATGACTGTCGGGTATCCTCCATATTCTGTCCTTGTGCATACTGCATTGCCAGCCCCTGCTGTACGTATATCGTGAATTTTCGATTCTCGCGAAGTTGCCGTTTCGCCGTTGGAATAAAGTTGCGCGGCAGCATATTGAGGGTGCGAGCCACCGTCAAAAACTAACGTAAATTGTCAACAGCAATGCAAAGAGGTGTGTTATTGCTCAGAGTTTGCTTTTTGAAGAATTAACAAGTGATACGGTACGTTAAGAAGGCAGCTGTATTCTTAACGGATTGCTTCGAGGCAACTACCCGGAATCATTCAGTCTTTTCTGAGGTCTGCTTGAGTTATTTTCTATACCATCGACACAGACCACCGTGGCAGACGCACCGATGCTGCACTGAAACTTTCCTCCCCGAAAACATGGGATAGCTCACCCCGATCGTGTGCAATAAGACCACGCACTTATAACTTCCCACCGCCCAGCCGGCCGCCCGGCAGATGTCGTGGCGCGCGGTGCCGATAAGGCGCTGCCGCCGGCGCGCGGCGTCGAGTTCTCGCCCTTATTGACACAGGCCGGTCGGCGGGCGTAACATGGTCCTCTTTAAGCCGTTTGAGGAGCCCCTAACAGTTAATACTTTTCAGAAAAAAGGGCATCATTGGTCTCAGAAAAGGATACCGCACCACATGAGCCATGAGCCCATATACTTTTCCAAAATTCGTTTTTTTTAACAACCCTACTGTTCGTGCATCTTTTCCGCACATGTTGTGAAAATTTCAGACCCAGGTCGCCTTAGGTCAGGTCACCAGGTCACGCCAAGTGACCTCACCTCAGAAAAAATAAGAATGCTCGTCATAGCTACACCGATTGATCGATTGCCTTGAAACTTTCAGCGATTGATTAGAGCAACAGTATCTATAAAATGTATATCTCGGAATTTTGATATCGGTGACCTAAGGTCAGGTCAATTTTGCGGCCTCTCCATTATAAGTCAATGGGAGAAAATTGAAAAGCGTCTGTTTTGCACGAACGTCATTCTAGACACTCTCAAACATCGAGATGTAGGTAATATTGACACACTGAACCGGAAAATGGCAACTGTGACCCCTCGTTATGTCCCCGAGGTCATCTCAGGTCACGAACAGAATCTAACAGTTTTTCGCTAATAACTTCTGATAGAGGCAAGCTAGAGCGCTGAAAATACCTTAGATGTGTTCGGCTCGACGTTGCGGATCGACTGATATGCAACATGACCTTTTCTGGTCAGGTCATGACCTTGACCTGAGGTCAAATTTTCAAGTTGACCTTTCAAGGTCAAATTATAGTTCATTCGACGCGTCTCGACGAGAGGAACACGATGCTGGCAAAAGTAATGTCATGGCTCTTTTGAGTCAAAAGTTATCGCCGAAAAAACGCTTTTCGTAAAAACGGCTATTTTTTGAGTTTTTGCCCTCTGGAGGCAGAGCCGTTGACCTGAGGTCAAATCTGAGAACAGTACTCAGAAAGGCCTGTAAAAGGGCTATCGAATGCGCTTTTCCGCGGCGCTGTAGCTCTATCGGCTCCCGAGATAGCCGTTGCCAGTTTCCAAAATGTTGAAATAGTCAACATTTTACATTTGGTGACCTCTGGTGACCTGACCTTTGACCTGACCCAAAAAATGACCGAAGTGTTTTCGTCCTTATTTTGGACGTTCTTTCGATTGCCGCTTACCGCGTGTCGCTACGTGGCCCAGGAGCCGAGTTAGAAGGGGGGGGGGGTGTTCAGACACCCCCCCGGCCCGGCGCGGAATCTCAGAGCACCGGCCCGGCGCGGGATATAATGTAAGACGAGGAAGCCAGCGAAGTCCCAAATCGTGTTATCGTGACTCAGCAGCCTGAGTACCTATGTGGAACTATTGGACCGAGATCGAGCCAAAGGCACACCTACAGAACGAGGCAAGCCGATCTATTCAGCCGCCCCAACATACGCACTGAATCAGGTAGGCGGAGAATGTGTTACCGTGGCGTGACACTGCTCAACGGTATAGGGGCAGATCCCTGTGAGCCCGGGTTCCGTAGAGCTGTCAGAGCGGTCGTCGGATCTGTGGATCCTCAGTGATGATCGGAGTGAGTTGATGCATGAGTGGTATGCGTGTGGAACGTGAATGTGGCCTAAATTCGTCCTTTTTGTACTTGTACACTGACGTGAAAGAGTGAAAAGCCATGGTGAGTGGACTTCTTTTGAATAAATCTGAATCACTGAATCACAAATCATAGAATTTCACCACCAACCCAATGTTAAAGAGACCCGACTTTGGGTGCTTCTACCCCCCAGGTACCACCTCAGTTTTTAAAAAATGCACGATTAGCCGACTGATATTGATAGAGCTTGAAACAAGGAACGTTTTGAGGCTGAAGGTGGCGATACACATTGCACCAGTTTTATTTGGGTTCAAGTAAACTTCAATTTTGTACGTTTTTTCAATGGAAAAAGGGTAACGCCAGAACATACCAAAAAGGTCCGTGGCCACGCTGACAACGCTACCTAAACTGGCCCATAAGGTTGCCTGACCCACCTAAACGCATTTGTCATGTAACAGGGACCATAAAACATTCATCAGACGACACTTTCATATTGTGACCCTCGCTGACCTGACCTCTGTGATCTGACCTGATACCAATGACCTCAGATAGCAAAATGTGTTTGATGAACAATTCTCCATCGATGATTTTCAATAACTTACTAATTTACTCTAATTCTACCACGTTTCTTGAAATACCTGTATACGGTGAAAATGTGACCTTTGACTTGACCTGTGACGTCATCGATCGGACCGAGATCAATGAAATTTGGTAGCAAGGTAGTTCCCCGGTGGGGCTATCGAACGCCGTTTGAATTTTGAAAATCGGTTGGTAAATTTCCGAGATCTTAGGGGAACCGCCCCCCCCCCCCGCTTCGGTTGGTAGGGTCCGTCGATAGCCCTAGTGCGGGGCGTGGTTTAACCCTCGCATGTGTGCGGCGTTTGCCAGCTTCTAATGTGTAGGGGGGGGGGGGTCGGTTGGACCCCCCCCCCTTGCCGTTTGGCCCCTGATCGAGCTAGAGCTTCGCGGAAAAAATGAGCGTGTTGCCCGTGACGAGAGAAAGCCGATGATACCCAATTTTAAGGTCCTAGGTCATTGGTTGACCTTCCAGGTCAGGTCAATGACCCAAAGTCGGGAAAATCGGGACCTGTTAGAAAGTCGTAAAGTGTGGCTGCTAAGGGGTTTTTCGGGGTGCTGATCACGAATATCGTGTTAGTTTTGATCACAGATGATGTCTTGAAGCATTTAGACCAGGTCGGGTCAGGTCAGGTCAGGTCAACCAGTAGGCGTCGTGACGGGTATTCGTAGTACGTGTCAACCGCCTCTGACAGCTTCGTAACATGTTACGAAGTCACCAAAACTACTTCGTAAATGTTCAAATGGTTGCTAAATTCGAATTCAGCTCCAAAAACTAGCCTAGAAACATGTAAAACTCGAAAAAGTGACCCGAGGTCACCCGAGGTCACCAAAGGTCAATGACCTGACCTGACCTTCAGGTGACCTTGACACACACGGGAGTAACATCAAATCACATGTTTGAACGTTTGAAACCACGAAAAGCTTGCAAACACGCGACTAGTGCGAGCCGACATACGCGAAATCGCGATTCCGGCCAAACATGGTCTCGGAAAAGAGGTCACAGGTCAAAGGTCATTTGGGTCAGGGTCATGAAATTTTCAGGGTAGGTGTAAAATTGATCAATGCGAGGGTACTGAAAGTTTCGTCGCGATCGGCCGCTTTTTACGCGAGTTATTCGCGAAAAACCATGGGGGGGGTCCATCCGACCCCCCCCCCCCTACACATGCGAGGGTTAAGACAAGGCAACAAACACTAGGAAAGCCTGCGTTATCAATATGTATTTGTGCAGCACAGCATTGTATTTAACAAGTTATGTCTCATAACAAACACTCCATAGCGATACTCCGACGATACTCGTGGCAACAAAAAACATTCGCCGATTCAAAACAGAACAGTATTGTGCAACAGTTTTGCGGTAATACGCTGTTGACCTGTTGCATCGGGGGACATGTCCATTTGTTGCGTTGGCAGCCGGTTAGCAGTTGGGGAACTGGCTGATGCCTCCCAGGGTGCACAGGACTGAGATGGAGACCGTCGAGCCGAACGTCGTCACCGTGCTGACTGAGGTGAAGGTGGTGAGGCGCGTCGACCACGAGGTGATGATGAGGCGGTCCTCCCTGACGACGAGACACACACACGAGACATATCAGAACCACCTCTAACTGTCTGGTGGTCACCAAATAGCCCCAATATAGAATACATCTGTCATAAAAAGCTGTCGGCCGCTAAAAAAAAACTGCACTTCTCAGATAAGTTCACTCAAAATGCCGTACATAAATAAGTTTGGTTGATAAAGCAAACAGATAAAAATAAATTGAATACATTTGTTAGATAATTTATTGAAGAAATATGCTGCTGCAGTTATTTTGCCTGAGATTAATGGTTCTGGCTGGAACATTAAACATCAGCGTTTCTTGTTAAAGTATTTCTGATATAGGTAAAACAAAAGTTTTTTTTTTACTTTGCCGTCTGTCCTTCAAATTTCCATTGCAATTTAACTCATGCTGAGATACACGTCCATATTTTCTCAAGAATGATTAATAGGTATAAGCCCTCTCTCGCTCTCCCCTCTCTATCTCTCTTTTCTCTTACTTTTTCAAACTCGTGTCAGTGTTCTCCCGATGGTCTCCGATGGAAGACTGGATTGCTGGTACTTCTCCTGCCGCTGACCTGTAACAGATTGCTATCATAAAGTGACCAAAGCTCATGCGTAATGCCTTTACTCAAGACTCGATAGCAATACTACAGATAACTAATGTTGCTATTGTGCAGGATCCTGTCAAATATTAAAGACTAATATGATATGCTGAAAGCTCTCTCCCTATAATATTAACCCGCGCACCGACGGGGAGGGGCGGTTAACCCGCGTACCGACAGGGGTCTGCGCCAACTTAGAACCGACGGGGGGGGGAGGGGGCGGATGACCGCCCCTCCTGAGATCTCGAGAACGAAGCAAGATAGCGACAAGCGGTAAGCGGCATGGGATACGCACGGACAATGTCTACAATTTTTACGGAGGTCATTTTCAGGTCAGGTCAAAGATGACGTCACAGGGGTCAAAAAGTCAAAATGGCGGCGCTAGGTATGGGGAGAGTTTTTCTCGAATAACTTTCGAACTAGTAAAGATAGGAACAAACTAAGGGCATCATCGTGATCCTCTCGTCAATCCGCATCAAATGATATATATATATATATATATATATATATATATATATATATATATATATATATATATATATATATATATATATATATATATATATATGTTCATGGGCGTAGGAACGGCTGGAACATTGTGGGTGCATGGGTGCAGAAATCTAGCCATGGCCGGTGAAGCGGGGGGGGGGGTAGGAAGCGACACCCGAGCGAAGGCTCGTTACGAGTTTTGAGGGTGTACCATGTCGAAAAGGTACCGACCGATAAGTGCATTTGGAAGCATTGACCCTTGCGTGTGTAGGGGGTCAGATGAACCCCCTCCCATGGTTTTTCGCAAATGACTCGCGCAAAAAGCGGCCGATCGCGACGACACTTTTAGTACCCTCGAGTTGATCAGTTTTACACCTACTCTGAAAATTTCATGACCCTGACCCAAAAGACCTTTGACCTGTGACCTGGTTCTCGAGACCATGTTCGGCCGGAATCGCGATTTGGCGTATGTCAGAGCTCACATTATCCGCGCGTTTCCAGTCTTTTTGTGATTGTAGACGTCCAAACATGTGAAATGATGTTCGTCCCATGCATCATGGTGGGTATGAAGGTCACCTGAAGGTCAGGTCAGGTCACTGACCTTTGATGACCTCGGTTCACTTTTTCTTACATGTTTCTAGGGTAGTTTTTCGGGCGGATTTCCGATTGAGCATCATTTTGAACGTTTACGAAGTAGTTTTAGTGCCTTCGTAACATGCTACGACGCCGTCAGTGGTAGTTGACACCTACTATGGATAGCCGGTAGAACGCCTAATGGTTGACCTGACCTGACCTGACCCGATCTGGCCTAAATGCATGAAGGAATCATCTGTGATCAAAATTAGCATCAGATATTCGTGATCAGCACCCCAAAAAAACCGATAACAGATTCACTTTACGCAGTTCTAGCAGGTCCTGATTTCCCCGACCTTTGGAATATTGACCTGACCTGGAAGGTCAACCAATGACCTAGGACCTTAAAATTGGGTATCACCGGCTTCCTCTCGTCACGGGCAGCACCCTCGTTTTTTTTCCGCGAAGCTCTAGCTCGATCAGGGGCCGAACGGCAGGGGGGTCCGACCGACCCCTCCCCCTCCCCCTACACATTAGAAGCTGGAAGAGGCCACACACATGCGACGGTTAATATTGTCAATATTGACTACCGCAAAAAGTAAAAGCGGCCAACTTAGCCATTTTCGAAGATATCGGGCTAAAAATTTTGACAATGGGTCATCGGTTCGGTATGTGTTCAATCACATGCTCCATTTCCCTTTTTGTCTTCAGCACAAATGTAAGTTTTGAAGACATCACAGTAGGAAATGCTTCGAAAGATGGATAGTAGGCATAAGGCAACATATCCTGAATTTATCCGTGCTGCACATGGGAAGTAGTGTTGATGAGAAAAGGGGTTTTTGGTTCAGATTATTGCGGGTGCAGAATACATTGCCTGCACCCACTGGAAAAATATTATGGGTGCAGCTGCACCCTTGCACCCATGGTTCCTACGCTTATGTATATGTTGACCTCAAAAGGTCAAGGTCAAAGGTTGACCTCAGGTCACGTGACCTCGAGGTCATCATGTATATCATTCGATGCGCCTTGACAAGCTAAACACAATGAGACCATCCGCGCGGCTGCATCTTGTTCCTGTACGGAGTTATTGACAAAAAACCTTTGGTGACCTTTGATGACGTAACATGACCTTAGAGCTGCCCAACAGCAAAACAGACCTCAAGGTAGTGAAAATTGATCGCATATGAAGTCATGTATGGTTTATGGGGCCATTCCGACCCGTTTTAGTGGTAAAAACAGGGAGTTGATTTTTCCCCCATTGCCTTATAATGGGGAGATCGAGAAATTGACCTGACCTTAGGTCATCGATATCAAAATTCCGAGACATAATAATGGTAGCTTCTAATGACCTTATAACATCCCCCGTCGGTTGTAAGTTGGCGCACACCCCCGTCGGTGCGTGGCCTAATACAAATTTTAGTGTCAGTGTCGGTTCACAAAAATCAAAGCAAAACATCCAGTTGCAATTAATGTATACCATTACCATCCTTTAAAAAATGAAATGGAGAGGATCGATGGACAACCATCTGTATCCTTTAATGATTAATGTTGTCCCTATAATGTTTTGACACGGTTTGAAGCCCAGCCTGCCTAGTTCCATTATAAAGCTTCAAGTCAATGTGCTGGTATGGTGAGAAGTTAAATCACTTTTAGATGAATTTGAAGATGTTCTTGCTTTCTGAATTGTGTTCCACTGAACAAATGTTCGTCATAGGCACTCACAGAGACTCCTCCTCTGGCTTGTTCAGTGTCCTCCTCCTCCTTCTCTTCCTTCGTCCAGCGCACACAGCGGTGGTACTCGCCGCTGAGGAGCGGAGGACAGTCCCGCTGTTAGTTATGAATAAGAGGGGAAGGGAGGCCAAGAAAAAGAGAGAGAGAGAGAGAGAGAGAGAGAGAGAGAGAGAGAGAGAGAGAGAGAGAGAGAGAGAGAGAGAGAGAGAGAGAGAGAGAGAGAGGGAGAGAGAGAGAGAGAGAGAGGAGAGAGAGAGAGAGAGAGAGAGAGAGAGAGAGAGAGAGAGAGAGAGAGAGAGAGAGAGAGAGAGAGAGAGAGAGAGAGAGAGAGAGGAGAGGAGAGAGAACACAAACTATGTGTATAGCAAGCTGACATGAAAATTTTATCTTGATGGGTAATTCAATGAACAAATATTCCCTTTGGATTTTAGGTATTTGAACGTTGTTTTGAGCATTGTTAATAAGATTATTAGAAGGATGAAGAAAAACCTGTTGCTCATTTCTATCAGAAATAGAAAAGTAAGCCAATTTGTTAATTGACATGGTTTTCTATTTCTGCAGGTAGAAATGAGCAACAGGTTATTCTTTATCCTTAGCTCCTTTGATTTTATTTTGATTTATGGCAATCGCGAGTTCAGAGCTATCAAAAACGGACCACTGCTATTGGCATCACTGCTAAGTCACTTTCGTTCGGCGGCAATACACACTCACCGCTGATGCACGTGTATGGAACAGTCGTGGTGGATCTGACGACGGAGAAGGACGTAGTCGTGCTGCGAACGACGAACTTGAAAAACAGCTTTCCGTCTCGATCTGCGGAAAAGTCATGCATGGTCAACTTTTAGCTGATGTGCTATGATATGATTTTTTGCATCTAGATTCTCCCGTTACCCGATGCGCGATAAGACGGTAGGGTCGGGTTCTATACGCAACAATCTCTGCAAAAGGTAATTACTGGTTTATATACACTAGTCTTTTTTACTTTGCCTGCTGACAAGATTTTTTTTTTGTGGAAAGCTATGGTCATCCCTGCCCTTATAATTGGATGCCATTCTGTTCCTCTCAGCTCAACCGATGTTGATGCCCTGGACAGCGTTCAGTCTCGCTGCATCAAAGCTGACCTTGGTCTGCGCACATCACTCTGCTCTGCTTATTGCACTAGAGATTAATTCCCAGGATACAACCAGTAAAACGCCTTTTGTGGCGACAAACGAGCGAGCGGGAGGATGAGCCTTGCATGTGCGGAATTGCGAGGAGCTACTTCCGACTGACTGATGCACGGCAACCTATAATTATCGGTCTCTAGCGATGTGCCGAATTTGAGCGCAATTGACCCAGCCGTTCTCGAGATATAGAAGCGGCACCCTGCATATGCGCACCTGCACACGGGGTCCAAACTGACTTTGCATGGCACCCTACTAACCGGTCCCCAATCATGTACCGAATTTGAGCGCAATCGGCCCAGCCGTTCTCGGAATCTGGAAGCGCCCCCTGCACGTGCGCACGTGCGGTAGCACCCTAATTGGAACACATGGAAATGCATTGCCTGGTGGGTGCCTACCAGTTTGTCAAGTTTTAGTGAAATCGCCTCAGTAATTACCGGGTAATTGAAATGGGAATAAGCGTGACACCTCTTCTTTTTGCATTTTGCACTTGCAGCGGGGGTCACTCACATATGTAGAGGCACCCTACTAACCGGTCCCCAATCATGTACCGAATTTGAGCGCAATCGGCCCAGCCGTTCTCGGAATCTGGAAGCGCCCCCTGCACGTGCGCACGTGCGGTAGCACCCTAATTGGAACACATGGAAATGCATTGCCTGGTGGGTGCCTACCAGTTTGTCAAGTTTTAGTGAAATCGCCTCAGTAATTACCGGGTAATTGAAATGGGAATAAGCGTGACACCTCTTCTTTTTGCATTTTGCACTTGCAGCGGGGGTCACTCACATATGTAGATCAAGAGTGTCCGACCTTTGGTAGAAGGGATGCAGGTACCCTACAAAAAATACCGCAAGACAATCGCCCAAGCGGCTGCATAGATAGGTATGAGCCTCTCAAAATCACTTCTTTTGCAAACGCTCTCGAGTTTTCACGTGGCGCGTGCCACGAAGGTCCCTGAAATGTATCAAGAGTAGTCAATTACGGGGAAGAAGGAATAGGACTACCCAACAAAAAAGACTGCAGGCAAATCGGTCCAGTGGTTGCTGAGATATAAGCCTCTCAAAAGCGTTACGGACCGGGCCGGGTCGGGCCGCTCATACAGAGACTTTTCCGTTATATTGAAAAGACTTCGCTCGCTCCGCTCGCTCCTTAAGAAACCCTCAGACGCGCGATGGTTTTCGCGTTATTGGGAATATTTCGAGATGATCACAGTCCACAGACTTAGGCACAAAGCATAACGTGAACTAGCTGTGTTAGCAACTGAGCCTGAACCTTTACACGGATCATTCTTGCACCCAACTTACACCTTGCGCACACGTTGGTGAACTGTTCTTTTCAGAGCGTGCTAGATATTGTATTGGGCCATGTTGACACTAGCTTTATAGGTAACCCGACTGAGTGTGACGGTTTGGACGACTCGATTCTCTTCGTGCTAAATTCTAGTCCGTTATGTCCCATCGCCTGCTAAGTGCTAAGGCTTTTGTGCGCCTAGCCTGCTTTGTGCATTCTGCTACGATGCTGTATCTTTGCGTGATGAATGTTTATCTTTTGCACTTGTGTGCTATGTTCTACTGTATGTTTTGTCTTGCCTCGAAATGACGCATAATAAATTGATTAGTTGTTTGACTATAATTGATTATATCAATGATTACAGTGTAGGCTTCGGCTCTGTCTTACATAATTAAATGATTGGGAGATATAGTTATGCATCATATGTCACATCTGTCATTTGATAATCCTTTTGGTATAATGTTATGTATCATTGTTTCCTGTGATTTAACCCTCGCCCCGCTGGGGGGGCAATTTGCACCCCCTGTGGTTTTTCCAAAATAGCAAAAAAAAAAAAAAACGGCGGCGCGAAGCGCCACCAATCTTTTCAATTTTCAGTACCTTCCCGAGCATCGATATGACACCTTCACACAAAATTTCAAGTCTTAGGTCACCTTAGCTCAAGAATTATTAAGTTAAACTGAGGTCATGTTCGAGCGAAAATGAGCAAAAAACATGAAATCTTGAAATGCTCACAAAAGCTACAGTTGCCAAGCAATTTCAAAATTCTTTATATGGTCATGTAGACAAAAACCGCGCTGCAAAACTGTGATTTTGAATTTTCAAAATTGTGGGATTTTGACCCCAAAAATTCAAAAAGTTGATTTTTTTTAAGAAAAAAACGCAAAAATACCAAAAGTTTTCCGACTTTTGAAAAACTGCAATATATGTGATAGTCCCTATATATATATATATATATATATATATATATATATATATATATATATATATATATATATATATATATATATATATATATATATATATATATATATATATATATATATATATATATATATATATATATAGATATATATATATATATATATATATATATATATATATATATATATATATAGATATATATATATATACACTGTATATGTAGGGGAAACCGATTTGCACATTAGGTACTCATTAAGTTCGCATTGCCTAAAAGTTAATCCCAGGTCACCTTAGGTCAGGTCACCAGGCCAATTAAGATAAACATACCACCTCAACGAATATTGCGATCATGTCATTACTACAGTTACTTTCCAAGAAGTTTAAAAATAGGTGCATCGCATGAGAAAGGCCGGTTCCAGCCAGGGATGCGGAGCCGTGAAAATTTCAGACGGCTTCGGCTCCGGCTCCGGCTTCGGAGAAATAAAATCGGCTCCGGCTCCGGCTCTGGCTCTGGGTGAAATGTCATGGCGGCTCCGTCTCCGGCTCCGGCTCCGGGCAAAAATGTGCCAGCTCCGTCGGCTCCGGCTCCGGCTCCGCACCCCTGGTTCCAGGTTCCAGCGACTCGTTTTTCCCGAAATGTTAATATATGTGACCTGGAGTAAGGTGGTAAGATTCGCGACCTTAACCCGCGCCCTGGTGTGGGTCTGAGCCACCTTCGCCCTGGTGGGGGGGGGGGGGGGGGCCAAAATGACCCCCCCCGTCTAACTCGAAAACGAAGAGGGCTAGGAAGACGCGGAAAAAAGCAAACGAAAGCCCATAACAAGTACGTTCGAAAGTATTTCAGTCATTTTTTCGCTAAGGTCAATATTGAGGTCGCTAGAGGTCATCATAGGTCAAATTTCAGTGTTTTCGGTGTTGCCGGACATATTCCGCTGTAGCTCGGAAACTAGAAGAGCTAGAGAGCCGCGGAAAAAAGCAATCGATAGCTCTTTTCAAGCTCTTTCGCCAAGGTTCGTCAGATTTGACCTCAGCTCAACGGTTTGGCCCACAGAGGTCATGCAAGGTCAACTTGGCAAATTTCGTTGAAAATGTTTTTAACTATAGCATGCATTCACGAGAAAATAGAGAAACGATTCATGCACCATCGTGCTTGGCTCGTCGAGACGCGTCGAATGATATATAGTTTGACCTCGAAAGGTCATTTTGAAAATTTGACCTCAGGTCAAGGTCATGACCTTACCGAAATAGGTCATGCTGCATATCATTCGATCCGCATTGACGAGACAAACACGATAAACGTCGAACGGAGTCTCTATCTCTATTCAATAACAAGTAAGTGCAGAAAAACCGCTGGTGACCTCTGGTGACCAGGGAGATGACCTAGCGTGACCTCAGCGAGGTCACAAGCAAATGGTTTCACATGGGCTGTGATTTGCTGACCCAAGACACTTCAATAACGAAATATAGGAACAATCACGCCCGATTTAGCTGAAAAACAACTACTTTTCGATTCTCCCATTGACTTATAATGGGGAGCAGCGATGACCTGACCTGACCTTAGGTCACATTTATAAAAAATCCGAGATAGCCATTTTGTAGAGCTGGGTGACATCTTCAAGTACTGTAAATTTTACATCGATCGGATAAAAGCTGTGCCTTTGAGAGAGCTTTGAACTTTTTTAGAGGTGGTGTCAGTTTTGGTGACCTTGTGACCTGACCTGACCTGACCCGAACCCCCCAAAAAAGGACATGATGTAAAAATGTTGAATAAACAGCTATACAAAGTTTCAGGGCGCTAACTCAAGTGGTTTCTGAGTTATCGCTGAAAAACCACAGGGGGGGGGGGCCAAAATGCCCCCCCCCACCAGGGCGAAGGTTAATATCATGCTGCGCAATGGTGGTAAATTGTCGCACATTTATGTGGGGAAGAGGTGTTTTATACACCTTCTCTTGCTCAGCTCCTGGGCTGGTAGCGGCACGGGTTTGGAAAAAAGGCATAATGAAGGAAGTACTTTGGTTACTTTTTCACCTTGACCGTCGCCGGCCGAGGGGGGGGGGGTGCCGCCCCCCATAGGGTTTGTTTCGCGATAGCTCCGAACACGCTGGCGATAGAGAGCTGAAACTTGGCATACCTGACCTTTGATCCAAGCCGCATCTTTTGACACCAACTGAATTTTTGGGTCAGGTCAGGTCACTGACCTATGACGTAATAAGTGAACCTCTGCACGGTCTTCAGATGTCGCAACTTCGCAACGCCCTCACTGCCAGAGGAGATGTCACAGGGAAATGAAACTTGCAGGATCTAGTATCCATTATGAGTCTCACAACTTGTATATCTCGGATTTTCCCTAAAGGTCATATGAGGTCAGGTCATTTTCGTGACCTCACCATTATAAGTCAATGGGGAAAAATGAAAACTGCTATTCTGGCGCCGGGAACGATCTCCAACTATCTCAAGCACACAGAATCGTGATTAGATGCACTCCTTGCAAGGTTAGATGCGTCACTTTTGCAATTTTGACCTTCCGTGACGTCATTTATGACGTCATCAAGTTCATAGGTATTAGTTTTTCGTCAATAACTCCCGATCAAATTGAGCTAGCGAGTCACGAAAGCCACCAATGGACTCAGGAAGACCTGCCGAATCGAATGATATGCGACATGACCTCTTTTGACCAACTTCGTGACCTGGGGGTGCTGACCTGACCTTGACCTGAGGTCAACACCCTAAGTTGACCTGACCCAAACAAAAAGTATATCATTCGACGCGCCTGAGCGAGGCGAACACGATGCGGCCAAAATCGCGGCTCTGAGGCCGTTTTTGCGAAGTTATTCACCAAAAACTGAACCATACCCTGGGGCACTTGACCTGACCTCAGAGGTCACCGGTTAACCTAGGACCTTAAAATCGGGTACCAATCTCTGCGTCTCGTATCGGCGCACACGCTCGTTTTTTCCGCGACGCGCTAGCTCCACCAGGGGCGAAACGGCGAGGGGGGTCGTACCCCCCTCGGCCGGCGCGTATGTAGAAAACCAATAGGTCCGGCGAGGGTTAAACAAGTGACGGTTTAAATTGGGTGACTTTTGATGCTACACATGACGGCTAGCTATTTTTAGGCAAAGCTCTATCTCAGGTGCGAAACGGAGAGGGACGAACACCCTCCTAGGCCGAGCTTATGAAAATATCGATTGGCCTGGTCACAGGCCACAAAATCCCAAATCCAACATATTCATATGATCTCGATTGCCCCCACTCCACACACAACTTCGTTCTTGCTAAGCATCATATGCTTATAGACCATTGCCATGTATGCCATTCATGCATAATCCTGAAACGATAATGAGCAATTGAAGGGTGAACAGTACAGGTCCAAAATTTGTTAACAATAACTTTTCACGATTTCTCACTTACCGCTGGAGATGGCGCTGTCCGAATCCTGAGGATCTGGTTCCGCCCGGGCTCCTTGTGTCAGCAGGAGCACCGACGCCACTGCACACAGCAGGAAGCACTGCTGAAACACAGGTGGAGACTGGGGTAGGTACCAGCATCGACCAACTGGAGGGATCGCGGAAGGATCAAATTAGGTCGAATAATAACTCGTTTGAAACTGAATAACGTCTTTGCCAGAGCCGAGTCACAAGGAATATGTTGTTGTCAATTTTTGAGTGTAGGCTGCGTCATTATAACGTTTTGCAATAAATATTTATGGTATATCCAATATTCTCGAAAACAGGCTGCTTGATCTGATGTTATGCACCAAGGGTGGTGACATAAAATACTGAATGGTTGCAGAAAATGCGGCGACACCGTGATGGCTGATGTATGGCCACTATGCGGCCATCCTCCAGTCAGTTGCCTCCCGCGCGGGTCAACAATACAGGCGACCGGCGTATATCAGCACTGATAAACTGCCCTCTGGTTACATACCACGAGGAGGCGCATTGTGTCGGCTGTGGTGTGACGAGGCCTGCTGCCGGTGCCGGACTGGCGGCAGACCGGCTCGAGCTGCCGTTGCAAACTCGCGCACTCCGCACGTTGCAGCGTGTACCGCTACTGGCAAAGTGCGAGCGCTACCGCCGCGGGCTCGGCGGCTGCGCGGAGGATCACCAGCACCGCTTTCCGTCATTCACTGCCGTGTCAACAACAGGGTTGTGCTCGACTAAAAAAAAAAATGCCGACTCGACTCATCATTCAACTTCAGAAAGCCCTGACTCAACTCTGACTCAAACAAGGAGCTGATTTTTTCCCTTGACTCGACTCATGACTCAAGCAGCTCAATGAAAATATGAGTTGACTCAAACTTGACTCAATTTTTTTTTTGTTGAGTCAAGTGTGTTCTCCCGATTCATTTCAAGTATATTAACCCGCGCCCTGCGAAAAACATCGATTATCTCCCGATTCATTTCAAGTATATTAAACCGCGCCCCGTAGGGCTATCGGCGGACCCTACCACCCGTAGGGGGGGGGCGTTTCGCCCCCCTAAGATCTCGAAAGTTTACCGGCCGATTTTCAACATTTAACCCGCGCGGGGCTGGGGTCCCCAGCCGAACGCGCGGGGCTGGGGGGGGGGGGGTAAATTTTACCCCCCTGTTATCTCCCGAACTAATGGTCCGATTTGGAAAATTCAAACGCCAATCGAAAGCTCTCATCACGAACTACTAAAAACATGTACTTAATTTAAAGTTTGAGGTCAAGGTCAAGGTCAGGTCAAGGGTACAAATTGCAAGTTTCTACAGTATCGGCCTTGCACCGTAGTTGCCGAAGGATGGAGTCATGGACTGAGACTGATCGCCCAAAACGTGTTCTTAGGCTACCAAGACAATATTAGTTGCATACAATATCATTCATAGGTCAAGGTCAAGGTCAGGTCAGGTCAGGTCAGGTCACCAAAAAACAAAATATAGAAAAGGGCATGTGCGACACATGTTTTATGGGTCATTTTACTCATAGAATTCAATAGGCACACTCAATAAGTGATATGGACCACCTCTGGATGAATTTCAGGTCGAGGTCAGGTCAAGGTCAGGTCAAGTGAGGTCAAATTTTGAAGTTGGTTGTTAAGGCCTAAAAAGGTGTCTATCTGATGCAGTTTTTTACGGCGAATCGAATGGTGCTATTTTTGTTTCCGTACGAGGTCTAGAACTTCCATAAAAGTCATTTTTCAAAAATTTTGTGTGTCGTGACGTCATAAAATTTTGAATAACTCTCACATTTTTGAACCGATTCTTCTAAAATTTGGTATGTAGGTGCACATAGACCACTTCTCTGACATATATTCTGGTTTTTTCGATAGACTCAAAATTTTGGATTTTATAATGATTTTCCCAAAAAAATCAGTTTTTTGAAAAAATTTAGGCCAAAATCCAAAATTTTCAAAAAACCGAGATAGCCATTTGATAGACAAAGTAAAATTACGTATAACCTTTTTTGTTACGTCTTGATTCCTTTAAAAATGAAGATGTTAGCGGCGTTTGAACTTTTGCCGTTTTTGAGGCGAAAATGGCGAACATGACGTCACTATAACGTCAATTTCTCAAAAATTTTCCGACGGATTTCGCTCAAATTTTCAGGGAAGGTGTCAAATTGATGTAAGAAAAGGTACTGAAAGTTTGGCGGCGCTGCGCGCCGCCGTTTTCGAGATATCGCAAAAATTCGCGAGGGGGGTAAAATTTACCCCCCCAGCCCCGCGCGGGTTAAACGGCGTTCGATAGCCCTACCGGGAAACTACCTTGTGACCAAGTTTCATTGACCTAGGTCAAACCGATGGCGTCACAGGTCAGCTCAAAGGTCGGATTTTCACCGTTCACAGGCATTTCAAGAAATGTGTTGTGAATTCGAGTAAATTGGTAAGTTATTAAAAACCATCGATAGTACATTGTTCGTCAAACACATTGCTATCTTTGCTATCTGAGGTCACTTATACCAGGTCAGGTCACAGAGGTCAGGTCACTGGGGATCACAATATGAAAGTGTCGTGTGATACATGTTGTATGATCCATTTTACATGACAAATGCGATTATGTAGGTTAGGCAGCCTTTAGGGTCAGCCTAGGTCACGTTTTGGTGAAGGACAGGTCAAGGTCAGGTCAAATTAGTTCAAATTTCAAAGTTGATATTTTTGCATCAAATGGGTATCGATTTGATGCAGCTCGTCACGAGGAGTCTGATGGTGGTGTTTATTTTGCCCTATGTGGTCTAGAATTGCCAAAAATTGAGTTTGAAAATTTGACGCCATCATTTTTTAAAGGCTCCCTATTATTGAATCTCCAAATTGGACACTTTCACCACCAAATGGTTGATCACCACCAAAACGGACGAAAACCACCAAAAAGGACATACTACCTCCAGATTGACGAATACCACCAAAATGGACCAAGCCACACCCAAATTGGACACATATGCCACCAAAATTGTGGCTTTTGACACAAGAATGTTCTGCCGCTACACCAGTCATGAAACCAACCACCCAAATCACCGATTTTTAGCCAAATTTGTTGTTCACCTCCTACTATCAACTTTTAAGGCCAGAATCTAGTAGGAAATGAGTAGTTGAAACGGTTGAAACTAGAAGTTGGTACGAATGTACGAATGCCAGATCGGCGTCTTCTTCGCTCGTGGCGCGATTGCCCCGCCGCGTTTGCGATTACACGTGCGTAAAGGTGCTCATTGATCCCATTGATCAAAGGCCGAAATTGGTGTGTGGACCAGGCGCAATACTCTATTAGAGATGGCCTTGCGCAATACCCCGTTTGACCAAACGCCTACAGGAACCCTCGTAAGGTTTGCTATATGAGGCCGATCGACTTGTTCAGAAGCCTGCCCGGGCATATAGGCGGCGGAACGGGGAGGGCACCGAGGCATCGTGCCCCCCTTTGATTTTGACATTTTAACATTAGCCCTATGGGCGTTGTTGCATGGAAAGAATGGGACCAAAAGTCGGCAGTGCCCCCTTTAATTGAAGGTGTTTCGCCGCTACTGCGCCCGGGTATTGACCTATGGTAGATTCTGTACACTACAATATAGCCCCGTTTACATAGGGATTGTAGCAAGCTTATAGCTCCGTCCGTCATGTCATAGGCGGCGGAACGGGGAGGGCACCCGTGCCCCGTTTGATTTTGGCATTTTAACATTAACCCTATGGGCGTTGCATGGAAAGAATGGGACCTTAAGTCGGCAGTGCCCCCCCCCCTTAATTGAGGGTGCTCCACGCGCTACTGCGTCATGTTGCAAAAGATGCCAATGTGCTTTACAATTTACAAATCATCCCCTCTAAATATACGAACATAACTGCTTCGAAATTATCGCAAAATAAATTAGCTAGAGACTCGTCAAAAATGCTATGTAAACGCTACTAATGATTAAGCAAATCATTCATCGTCTCTTTCACCAATGTTTTGTAAATACTTCGTTTTAGCGGCCTCGATCTAATCTTTGGTGCTTTTAGTTTATTATGTCATACTAGATCTGATGTGGCATCTCTGGTGGTGGGTCGTCGTTTTGGTGGCAGATTGTCCTTTTTGGAGATGTACCAGTCCAACCTGGCTTGCCGTCAAATCTGGTGGAAGGAATGCGTGATTTGGTGCTAGAAGTGGCCATTTTGATTTTTCGAATAATTTTGCCCCTTTTTTAAACACTTTTTTCGGTATAACTTGGCCAAAAAAGCGATATCGATCTGAAATTTAGTATATAGATGACAGTAGGTACTATTACATATATTCCGTTTTTTAATTAAAAAAACTTGTTCGATTTTTTGGCTAATATACAAAAAATATGTTTTGGATTTTTGGGGGTCAGAACTCAAAAAGTTCAAACATGTGAGATAGCAGTTTTGTATCCCTGGAAATTCTACACTTTTCCTGTCTTGACCATTTTTCTGTATCTTCAAAGCTGTAGGCCTGACAGCTCTTCTCGCGAACGTCTTTTTTTCGGTCGAAAATGGCAGAACATGACGTCATTGTGACGTCATTTGTGGCCAACCTATGATAGCTTCTGGATTTTTTTTTCACAATGTGTAAAATGGATGTCCGGAGGGGTCCTGAAAGTTTGGTGGCGATATCTTCAGCCGTTTAGGATATATCGACGGAAAAGGACAGGGGGGCAGTTTCGCCCCCCCCCCTTTGGAGCGCGAGTTAACACGCGCACCGACGGGGGGCGGATATCCGCCCCACTGAGGTTATTCGCCAATAGCGGGAAAACCGCGGCGCGTAGCGCCGCGAAATTTAATACGACTATTTCCTTATCAATTTTACACATGGTGTGTAAGTTTGAACCTCCTAACTTTTAAGGTCAGGTTACTTTGAATGACCCAACCTCAAGTCACTTTTTTGCAACTTTGTCACCGTGCCAGAGCTACAGTAGCTGTCGGAGGCATTTGAAAGCCGCAGGATGTTATAAGGTCATTAGTAGCTACAATTTGTTTATCTCGGAATTTCGATATCGGTGACCTAAGGTCAGGTCAATTTCGCGACCTCCCCATTATAAGTCAATGGGGGAAAAATCAACTCCCTGTTTTTACCACTAAAACGGGTCGGAATGGCCCCATATACCATACATGACTTCATATACGATCAACCTTCACTACCTTGAGGTCTGTTTTGCTGTTGGGCAGCTGTAAGGTCATATGACGTCATCAAAGGTCACCAAAGGTTTTTTTTTTGCAAATAACTCCGTACAGGAACAAGATACAGCCGCGCGGATGGTCTCATTGTGTTCAGCTCGTCAAGACGCATCGAATGATATACATGATGATCTCGAGGTCACGTGACCTGAGGTCAACCTTTGACCTTGACCTTTCTAGGTCAACATATATATCATTTGATGCGGATTGACGAGAGGATCACGATGATGTCCTTAGTTTGTTCCTATTCGTGACTAGTTCGAAAGTTGTTCGAGAAAAACTCTCCATATCTAGCGCCGCCATTTTGACTTTTTTGACCCCTGTGACGTCATCTTTGACCTGACCTGAAAATGACCATTATAACATTGTAGACCTTTTCCGTGCGTATCCGATGCCGTTTACCGCTTGTCGTTATCTTGCTTCGTTATCAAGATCTCGGGGGGGGGGGAGGGCTGTCATCCACCCCCGTCGGTTCTAAGTTGGCGCAGACCCCCGTCGGTGCGCGGGTTAAAAAGAAATTACTTTGGGGCAGACATAAACTGTTAAAAGAGCCTTTGTAGATCACCTTCCATGCATGGCAGTATGTTTAGTTCGTTAAGAACTCAAATTAAATCATTAAAGGGGCTTGGACACTGGACAGCCCTTCCCTGTGCCAGCGCCAATAACCGTAAAAGTAAGGACTATTTGTTTTTAACATAACAATTTTTCAGATGCTAAAATGCCATGTGTGTAGTTAAAGTAGCCATTCATTTGTAAAACACCCACGGTACATTGTATTGATTTTTATTGATGTTTTTCAGTTGGCATATGTACAACACACAACAGTACATATTGAGGCATGGATATCGACTCATCTGATAACGGCATTAACTGGTGCGGCAACTGCATAACAAACAACAACCAAATCAGTCGTAACATCGTAACTGGAGCGGTGGCCCGCGATTGTCAGCGATCAGCAAATGGGCAACAGGGTCATGCCGGCCGCCGTGCAGCCCAGCAAATACGACACGGTCGTCAGGAAGTTGGTGATGGACGAGGTGGAGATGAATGTCGAGAACGACGTCGTCCACACGGTGAAGAAGAGCCGACCGCTGGCGTCCGAGGTGGCTGCCGTCTTGGCGACACCCTGGGACGCAGTCAGCTCCGGCACGCTGGACTCGGGCGCGGCCCTGTAAGGGGGGGGGGGGGGGTCAGAGCTGTGTGGCATACTGGTGACGTGGCAAAGATGGTGTTCAGTGATTGATTTACTCTTAGTTAGATATCCAGAAAACCCTATAAGAGTGTTTATAGGCCCTTGTTTGGCCACAAAATGCGCACATCTTCTGTTTCTGGATAAAAGTGGATTTTCCCTCATAAAATAGCTAGTTACAGTCCAATTTAAGTAAAACAAGCCATAAAGTGTGCTTTCAAAAGCGACCCTATTAGTTAAGTCCCGCTGGAGTGTTTCGATGCTCCGTTGGGTGGGTGACGTACAGGGGCACGGCGCTGGCCTTGGCCGCCGAGCGCCTCCTCCTGCGGCGGCCGGTGCAGGCCACGCCTGCGGCTGGCGTGATGTTGCAGCTGTACGGCACCGTGGTAGTGGTGCTGGAGAGCCGGATGCTGGTGAAGGTGGACCGGAGCAGGATCAGCCGCTCCTGGGCCTCAGCTGGCGGCGGACAGCGGCAGCGGGGTCAGAGCGCGGTCACAGCGCGGCCTTTCCGCCTCTGGCTGCCGGACGGAGCTTCGTATGTATGTACGGCGTGAGCTATGTGTTATGTGCTACTCTAGAGGCAGTAAATAAATGTCAATAACGATCAAGAAAGAGTGCGTGTTCACTTCATTGAATACACATTTGAATAAAAAGCTTCGTTGAACGTCTTACCGGAGTGACAAATTTACGGTTATAGATAAGGTGTAAACAAATATCCTGATATTTATGCAGCTCGAAGTTCGAGTGCTGTTAGCCCAAACAGATAGTTCTGAGCAGGAATCTCTAATAACAAATAACCCCGCAGGCAATCGGCGCTGAGTGGAATTCAATCTGCTCTTATCCCGTAAGTGAGATGCATCCAACTGCTACCCGTATTACACAACAGGGGCGTCACACTCTGTCGACTATTCTTACATTCTTCGACGGCTTTCTCCTCGCCATAGACGTAGCCCAGTAGGCACACGGCCACCACCAACACCGCCGCGTACTGCATCTGAAACGGAGCGCACGCGGGGTCACACGTACTGCATCTGAAACGGAGCGCACACGGGGGTGTCTCCGCGATCGCCTCATCAGTCGATAGCCGCCCCAGTGAGGGCTCCGCGCACCGATTATGAAGGATTAGGTACTCCAATATTTGCTCATTCTCGTGTAGCACACGGCCGCTTCAGTACGACAAACGAGGGAGCTAGGTGTTTTGAGCTGTACACAGCTTTGTAAATTGTCTTCTCTCTCTAAAAAAAAAAAATCAAAAAAAGAAAAATCAGCCAACCAGTGGCTATGGCAAACTTATTTGCCACTTAATCTACGGATTTTCGTTACACAATACACACGTTATTGCGAAAGGCAGTATAAGGGAAACATGACAAAGCTTATCTTTTGATTCCGCTTATATTTCTGTTGTTGATTTTGAAAGCTCTATTAAAAAAAATAGCGAGAAAGGGAGACATGGATTCATTTTTTTTTTTGAAAATCTGTCCTGTGATAGTTTATAAAACAAAATCAAGCACGGTATGAAATATTGCCTAAATGTTTACAAAAAACGACATTTTGAAAATTGTTGCCATTACACATTGGAAGCGTGAAAATCTGAATGAACGTAAAAGAAAATTTTATTAAATTCAACAATGGGAAAGACGAGCTATGATAACCGAAATGACTAATAATTAGTCTTGGAATATATTATATAATAGCATAAGTAGAATGCAATGCCTTTCACATTGAGTTTTTCTTCATGACGGCTGTACACTTCCACAGATTCATAAACGCACGGTAAATGACTTGTATCACCACCACTACCGCCGGCTGCGGCACTCCTCTGCACTTGGCCTGGGCCTCTAGCTCCAGTAGCCTGCGGCAGCAGCACTCGAAGCGCGCGATACGAGGCCCTCAGGCACTGCATACCAGGTCATGTGGCACTATATACCGACCTCTGCGGTTGTTGAGTAGACGCGACTCTAGCGGATACTGGCGACCGTTGTGGGCGCCATCTTTTATAGCCGTACTGTTTCTCGCGGCCCGTGGGGAGGGGCGGCTGTCGGCTGTGGTGCCGGGCGCCGCCGGCCGGCCGGCTGCGCGGCCGCCCGGCCGGTCGGGACGCCCCGCCTTGGCATAGTAACCCCGAGAGCGGCACGCCCACGGACGCTCGGAAACGAGATGCTGTTTTACCTGCTACAAAACTGTGGTCTGAGGCAAAAACTGCAGCGTTCGCCAAATCTGCAACCATCCCTATGCTATGCGAACTATCGTAGCATCTTGTTCACTGTGCCCAGCCGCGGGGAAAGAAAGCACTCACCCTTGGCGTTTTTTTTCTTCGTAATCGCTCGGGACGCATTGGACATAAAGAGCTGAACCCTGACACATCTGACTCTTGACTCAAGCCAGCTCATGTGAAACCAACCACATTTTTTCAAGTCAGGTCAGGTCACTTACCAGTTAGGTACCTATGATGTCATAAGCAAACCTGGATACTAAAATGTCGCAATTTCGCAACGCCCTAAATGCCAGAGGATCTTCCAGGTGGAAATAAAACTTATAAGATATAGCAACGCCCAATGGCTGTTTTCACGACGGCTATCTGGTACACATTCGATTGACATTTGGTGCAGATTTGGTCAAATTAGGTTCATTGCGTTTTGTCGTAGTTTTCAGCTTGGGTTGCACTTTCACGACGGGCTGTCAGGCGTGTGCACCAAGCTTGACCAAATCTGTACCTACCAAATTTCTATTGAAAATAATATGTAATAATTTGAAGAAAAGAATCTGTGTGTAGGCAACTGTGCAACCCAAACTGATAACTTCTAAGGAACACAATGAACCTAATTTGACGAAATATGCACCTAATTTGACCAAATATGCACCTAATGTGCACCAAATGTGTACCAGATAGCCATCGTGAACGGCTATTGCAACCCGTTGTCAGTGACGTTATTTAGCAAAAGATGTACGAGATTAAGTATAAGATGTATAAGTATAAGATTAAGAATGCTCTATCGATGATTTTCGATATGATGTCTAACTCGTATTAACCCTCGCCCGCACATGCCATTTTCTCATCCTAGAACGCACATGGGGTGCCACCCCCTGCGCCATTACGTTCCTGTTGGAGATAGAGCTTCGCGGTAAAGACCACAAATATTCTTTGGGAAGAGATGAATCCAATGATACCCAGTTTTACCTTCTCAGTTCAGTCATTGACCTTCCAGGTCAGGTCAAACTAAAAAATGTTGCTGTTTTGGGTCACCGTTGGATATCAAGTGCGCTGCTTATCATATACCAATGACGATGCCGTTTTCTGGTGCCAAGCCAGCTAGAACCTCTTTGTCACACTACCCGACCAGATTTTTCCTGCTGAGGTCATTTAAGGTCAAGTTAGGTCAAGATCAATTACATGTGTTTGTATGTCTGTGTGTTTCTGTGTGTATACTGACATGTCCATTGTCCACCGAGTGTTTTTGTGTCCATGTTACATGAAATCATGATCTGAGAAGCTTTAACCAAAAATGCAGTAAAAAAAAACTTCCCGAAAAGTAGATTCAGCTTGCCTAAAACGCAATTATTTTAGATGACCTAGGTTGACCTTGACCCTGACCTTGACATCTGTAAATCGTTGAACAGCATGTTCCATGATAGGTGGGAGGTAGGACTGGCAAAAAAGGCCAAAATCAAGGTGTCAAAAGCTCACAAGGCCCATAGCCAACGCAAGATGTTGAGAATTGGCCATTTGGGTCATGACATGACCTGAAAAACAAGGTCATATCTCCAAAACCTAAAACCACAGAAACTTGAAATTTTTAGTGAACATCAAGAAAGGATAGAGGAGCAGCTATACGAAAAATCAAGCTTCTAGCTTTAAAAATGTTGAGTGCAGAGCAGAAAGACTACCTGGGGGTGGCAACCCCCCCCCCCATGTGCGGGCGAGGGTTAACCCGCGCCCCAGTGGCGGTCTCAGCCAACTTCGCCCTAGTGAGGGGGGCATATGTTACCACCCACCTCTAACTCGAAAACTAAGAGGGCTAGAAAGACGCGGTAAAAAGCAGTCGATAGCTCTCAATGCGTACGTTTGAAAGTATTTCGGTCATTTTTCACCTTAGAGCAATATTGGGGTCACCAGAGGTCATCAAAGGTCAAAATTTGCCAATTGTCATTATATTTTTCAGAAAACATGCCGCTATCTCAGGAACTATGGTAGCTAGAAAAACGCATGGAAGAGCAAACGATAGCTTTTGAACTCTTCTTTTGAAAAGGTCATTATCAATATTGACCTCAGGTCAACGGTTTAGCCTCCAGAGGGCAAAAACTCCAAAAATAGCTGTTTTTACGAAAAGTGTTTTTCGACAATAACTTTCGACTACAAAAAGCCACGACATTTCTATTGCCAGAATCGTGTTCCCCTTGCCGAGACGCGTCGAATGAACTATAATTTGACCTTGAAAGGTCAACTTGAAAATTTGACCTCAGGTCAAGGTCATGACCTTACCGGAAAAGGTCATGTTGCATATCAGTCGACGCGTCTCAACAAGACAAACACAATGAGACCATCCCCAGCGTTCTATCTCTTTCCAATCGCGAGTTATTGGCAAAAAACTGTTTGTAGCCTCAAGTGACCTCGGATGACCTGTCTAGAGGCTATCAGCAAAAATTGCACCTTGGTCATCACGAGTGGACTAAATCATTGTGATTCTGAAATATTTGGACTGTTCCGATGCGTACACACGGATCTAGAGGCATTTTCATTTTTCTCCATTGACTTGTAATGGAAAGGTCACGCCACTGACCTGACCTTAGGTCACGGATATCAAAAATCCGAGATATGCAAATTGTAGGCGCCAATAACAGCATGCAATCCACCAAGTTTCAAACCTTTCTGACAAACACTGCAGGCTGGATATGATTGCAAACTTTTTTTAAGGCTTGGTCAGTTAACTTGACCTGGTGACCTGACCTGACATGACCTGGGGTCAAAAATTTCACACATTGTCCAAAATTGATGTACCAAAAGTTACCCCAAGCGGCGCGGCGCTACGCGCCGCGGTTTTTTATTCACACGCAAAAAACGCGACAGGGTGGTAACATATGCCCCCCCCCCCACTGGGGCGAAGGTTAACATATTTCCTAGACTGCCTGTTAACGGGTAAAAATACGACCTTCGAACTGACCTGTGACGTCATCGTTTGCACCTAGGTCAATGAAATTGGGTCGCTGGGTAGTTCCTGGTAGTATTCAAGGTCACTTGAAATGACATCTCCTCAGGCAAAGTTTAACCCGGCGGCTGCTGGGCCTCCGCGCCACCCGCCGGCCGCTGGGGAGGGGGGGAGGGGCATATAGTTGCCCCCTTTACTTCAGCGACGATATCGTCGCAACGCGAAGAGATAGAGAAGCGAAACTTCTGAAAACCTAGCTGAGGTTGTGTCCAAATTTGGTGTTAATCCAATTTGAAATGACGTCACAGTGACGTCAGAAGCCAAATTATAGATTTGTGACTCAGTTTTTAGAGATGATTCAATTGCTACAGGTCATCGATTTGAAACTTATAAGTAAATCTAATGACAGGCTTATCGACAACTCGTAAACCTTGGTTTTCTATGTGTTTGACCTAAGCTTAGATAGGTCATCGTGGCCTCTCTAATTGAAGGGCAATGAGAAACTGGGCAACTGGTTGCTGTTTTGACTTTTGAGGGTACGCATGAGGTCAATCCAATTCTTTGAGCGTTTTGATCACCAAGCGGAAGAGGGGACGCGTTCACATCACTAGGCGGGTGACTCCCCAGAAGCGGTAGGGCGAGCCCGTTCAGCGTGATCCCGATCTGGTTGACGCAGCAATGAAGATGAATCTCAGAATGCCAGGGAATGCCGACTGTCTGACAGAGGTGGGTGGCTGCAGAGGGACGGTGATGGGAGCAAACAGGGCACCTCGCTCTGATCGCAGAGGACGACAAGCTGCGCGGCCACTGTCCCCTGTAGCAGGCTGCTCTTTACGAGTATAAAAACGGCGACATTTCCGCTGCGTTGGATATAAATCACAGTTTCTCACTCGGATCGATCATGGGTGTTGCATTGACGAATAGCTGTCATTTTCTTAGTGACCGTAGGTTGACCTTGGGTCAGTCGCAGACTTGAAGGTCACCGGCGGGTCACACCGCCATAAGATGTGCGCTAATACACTTCTGGGCAACTGCACTCAGATGTGGGCTGCGGCTTAACCCTTGCCGGACCTATTGGTTTTCTACAAACGCGCCGGCCGAGGGGAGGGGGCGGGTACGACCCCCCTCACCGTTTCGCCCCTGGTAGAGCTAGCGCGTTGCGGAAAAACGAGCGTGTGAGCCGTTACGAGACGCAGAGATTGATGCCCAATTTTAAGGTCCTAGGCCAGCCGGTGACCTCTGAGGTCAGGCAAGTGCCCCGAGGTGCGGTTCCGTTTTTGGTGAATAACTTCGCAAAAAACGGCGGCAGAGCCGCGATTTTGGCAGCATCGTGTTTGCCTCGTTCAGGCGCGTCGAATGATATACTTTTTGTTAGGGTGAGGTCAACTTAGGATGTTGACCTCAGGTCACGGTCGGGTCAGCGCCCCCAGGTCACGAAGTTGGTCGAAGGAGGTCATATCGCATATCATTCGATTCGGCAGGTCTTCCTGAGTGAGTCCATTGGTGGCTTTCCCGACTCGCTAGCGCTATTTGATCGGGAGTTATTGACGAAAAACTAATATGACCCTAATGACGTCATAAATGACGTCACGCAGGGTCAACATTGCAAAAGTGACCCATGGAACCTTGCAAGGAGTGCATTAAATCACGTTTCTGTGTGCTTGAGATAGTCGGAGATCGTTCCCGACGCTAGAATAGCAGTTTTCATTTTTCCCCTTTGACTTATACCTGATGGTGAGGTCACGAAAATGACCTGACCTTATATGACCCTTAGGAAGAATCCAAGATATACAAGTTGTGACACTCGGAATGCATATTAGATCCTGCAAGTTTCATTTCCCTGTGAAAGCTCCTCGGGCAGTGAGGGCGTTGCGAAGTTGCGACATCTGAACTCTGAAGACCGTGCAGATGTTCACTTATGACGTCATAGGTCAGTGACCTGACCTGACCCGAAAATGCGATTGGTGCAGAAGATCTGGCTTGGATCAAAGGTCATGTATGCCAAGTTTCACCTCTCTATCGCCAGCGTGTTCGGAGCTATCACGAAAAAAAACCTATGGGGGGGGGGCGGCACCCGCCCACACACCCCCCCTCGGCCGGCGAGGGTTAACACTCAGGTGTTAGTTTGTCGACCGATTTAGTTTTGCTTTCGCGACAAGATGCGCAACGCAATTTTAGGCAGGCGCTGAAAATTTGAGGCTATCCCTCGCCCCACTGGGGAGGGGGATATTCATAGCCACCCCCTCTCGTTTGTCTGCAATAACTTCCAAACCGCTTGAGGTATCGACGCCAAACTTCCAGTACCTTCGGCTGCATCAATTTGACACCTTTTGTTAACCCGCGCCCTGGTGGGGTCTGTTTATAACGCGACCTGGTGGTGGGGGCTATTTTTTGCCCCCCCCCCTCGTATCTCCAAAACTACTGGACGGATCCGCAAAATTCAAACGGCGTTCGAAAGGCCTGTCAAATTTGTCGAAGGAAACCAAATTTCATTGACCTCGGGGTCACCGATGACGTCACAGGTCAGGTCAAAGATGAAATGTTTCACCGTTCACGGGTCTTCTAGGGAATGCGCTATAACACCGAGGAAAACGCATTTTGTCGAGAATCAGCGATAGGGCGTCAGTTGCCTAGTAGATATGTTGCTATTAGAGGTCACTGACAATACCAGGTCAGGTCACAGGTCAGGTCACCAAGGGTCACAGGTCAGGTCACATGAACCCAACTTTACTAAGGTTGTGCGATGCATGTTTTATGGCCAATTTTTTTCATTTCCAACTCAATGGTATTGCTTATAAGACCATCAGGTACGGCTTAGGTCACTTTCTGGTGAAGGTCAGGTCAAGGTCAGGTCAAAAAAGGTCAAATTGTAAAGTTGATAGTTTTGCATAAAATGGGTATCGATTCGATGCAGCTCGTCACGGGGAGTCTAATGGTGGTCTTTGTTTTGCGCTACGGGGTCTAGAATTGCTAGAAATTGATTTTGAAAATTTGACGTCATCAATTTTGAACAGTTTTTTTCGCTATAACTTCGCCAAAAAAAGAGGTATCAATCTGAAATATGGTATGTGGATGGAAGGCGGTAAGGACTATCACATATATTCCGGTTTTGGCGAAATTCAAAAAACTTTTTGGATTTTTCGGCTATTATATTCAAAAAATCTATTTTTGATTTTTAGGGGTCAAAATCCCAAAATTTCAAAAATCCGAGATAGCAGTTTTCTAGCCCTGTCGATTCTACAGCTTTTATGTTTTATCATTTTTCTGTATTTGCAAAGCTATAGGCCTGACAGCTCTTCCCGTGAAACCCTTTTTTGGGTCGAAAACGGCAGAACATGACGTCACTCTGACGTCATTAGCGGCCAACCTATCATAGCCTTTGGAAAATTTTTGGTCACAATGTGTAAAATTGATGTCCGGGAGGGTACTGAAAGTTTGGTGACGATCGGTGCAGCTGTTCTGGAGATATATCGAAAAGTCTGGAGGGGGGGGGGGGCAAAAAATAGCCCCCCCCCACCAGGTCGCGGGTTTAAGTATAGAATTTAGAGTCCAAAGTTTAACCCGCGACCGCCTGGGGGGGGGGTCGGATCCGACCCCCCTCCGTTTTTATTGAATAACTCATGAACCGCTTGCGCTATCAACTTGAAACTTCGCATACCTTCTTCCCCATCAATTTGACGTCTCCAGTGCAATTTTGAAGAAAAAATTTTCAAAAATTTTTGAGATATATCGATTTTAGTGATGTAACTACATGGCGTTTTCAGTCAAAAAATGATTAATGTTTGAAAAATCGCCAAAAATCGAGGTTTTAAGCAAATTGCAAATTAAGTACATGAAAAGACGCAACTCAACGAGTTCTTTAAAATTCCTATCTCGGATTTTCCATAAAATACGTTTTTCACCCCTAAGAATTCAAAAAGCTGTATTTTTTGGAAAACAGCTAATAAAATCCAAAATTTTGAGAATTTCCAAAAAACCGGAATATATGTTATAAAGATCTATTAGAAAATTAGATGTCCCAAATTTCAACTTTCTATCTTGATTTTTGACCCCCAAATTGTAAAAAATAGCTCCAACATGCATAGGGCATGGTGACGTCATAAGCATTTTCGCGAATTAGAGGCACTTCTGAACATCGCATGTGAAAACAAATGGCACCACTAGATTCCTGGGACAAAGCTCGTCTAGAAAAGTGCATTTTTATGTCAAAAATAAAAAGTTGAAAAATTGACTTTTTTTCTTAGCCCTTGTTTAGTTATATATGGTATAAACGATTTTTTATGCTTTCAATGCACACTTATCACCAGCACAGTGACTTGGGGTCACATTTAACCATTACCATCGGATTTGGCGTGAAAAAATAAGCCATAAAACATGTGTCGCACGCCCATGTAGCAGAAAGTGAAAACCGTGACCTTTCGTGACCTGACCTGACCTTGACCCGTACTTAGTATGACCCCTATACGCACATGGTACCTTCACTAGGTCTTTGAGGTCATTTGTGGTGAGTTTCGAGCAGCAGCTATCGATTCCGCTGTCCGTAAGCCTAATCATGCAAAACCCCTGAATTTGACCTTTGACCTGACCTTGACCCGAAAGTTGACCTCAATCTTAAAATCTTAAGAGTGCTTTGGGAAGGTCTCGTAGAGACCTTTCGAACGCCGCCTCGCGGGGCTCGATACGACCATTGGTTCTCGAGATAACAGGGGGGGGTCGGATCCGACCCCCCCCAGGCTGATGTGGGTACGGAAATAGCCCAGGCGGTGCCGGGTTAACGTGCGCATATAGCCGCGCACGGCTGGTCCCCTCACTGACTTCGCCTGGCTATGGGCTGCCACCAACCGCAACCATACCTACCTACCTGTCAGGAGGCCCATAAATATCGAGCGCCCGTCGCGCTTCGAACCCGGACTGTTACAAACGGGAACGCGTGCTCTCACCACGCCGCGGAGTCCAAAGCTCTACCAACTGAGCTACGGGACCGGCTGAATTTGGAAGAAAAGATAATATGTTGAGTTGAGAGAGGAGGCCATTTTATCCAGATGCGGTGGTTTATACTTCTTGAAATTAGTTTTGCTTATGACAACGGCCATGTACTGAGGGATAATGCGCGGCCGTCAACAGCAAAAATGATTTAAAGAAGTAAACCACTGCATCTGGATAAAATGGCCTCCTCTCAACTTCACATAATATTTTGTTTTTCATCAACATCCTGTTTTCGATCAATATCGTCAATATCGATCATTTCCGGATGCTTCAATTTTAAGTTCCAACTTCGGCCACAAAGCACACTACCATACAAACAACGGGCATGTTAAAGCTAGCTTCTTCTTCTTGCACAGTTGGCAGAACGTCTTTTCCAAAATCAGTGCTTATCTTTCCAAACTCGTGATTTCCTCGCCGAGGAGTGAAATCGGCTTCACCGTTGTCAAAAATAGCAGAATCGTTGTCAATTTTAGAACGTGTGATAAAGTAGCATGTGCTAAAAATGACGATTGACCAAACCTCCCCCGACTGATATCAATGAATTCGACAGCTTATTCTTGGTTTATAGGCGTTTCTCCCCACTCGTGACAACTCCATTAATTCGCGACCCAACTCCATTGATCCTGGGGGAGGGGGCGGGGCGGAGGGGGCAAAGGACTCCCTGTCTGTGTGTGTGTGTGTTTTTTTTTTACAGATAACTCCGAGACGACTGGGCTCCTCCCCTCCTCGCCGCCCGGCGGGTCGGCCGTCCGTGGTCCGCCGCACGCCTGCTGCCGGCCGGTCAGTCAGCTGACCGCCCGCAGCTCCCGGTGTTGTGCGGGTTGCCTACCTGCGAGTGGCCGTCCGGCTCCGTCCGGCGCCGGCCCGGGCGGACTGACAGAGTGAGTTTGGCTCGTGACCCTGCGTTGGTCTGGTGTGTATTGAGCTCACCATGTGACCATAAACCAATACAGGGCCAGCAGTAGCGAACCAAGTATTATTGTGCACAAAATAGCACGAGCAATTTGCAAGCAATACGTTACAATACAAGGGACTGAAAGGACTCTGGTAACAATATAAGCAGACGCATATGTTGTTTATTATCTGAATCGACCAACATAACATCGGCATTATTATCAAACATATTTCCCTACCTTGAAACGTGTCATATCACCTTGGTTTTATTTTCATGATGAGTGATGCATGCTAGCACAATTGCAACGAATTTGTGCTAAGGCCAGTTTTACCAACAGAAAAATAGCCGCCTGTCGGAATTTTTTGTCTCAAGACCGCTTCACATACGGAGCGTAAACTGTAAAGCCCTACTATCTTCTTATATGCCCATCGCGTAATAACGCTCCGTATGTGAAGCGGTTTCTAGGCAAAAAATTCCGGCAGGCGGCTATTTTTATGTTGTTAAAACTGGTCTCTGGTGTCGGAGTTGGCATTTTATCGCAGTCAGTATCAGCTGTGTGACTAACTCCCGGATGTTTGGCAGCGAGCCAACCGGCCTCTTGCGTGACCGGTCAAGGGCACACTCGGTCAGCTTTTTGGCTCGCTGTGGGAGAACTAGCAGTCGGCGGCGGCATGGTGTAACAGGTCATGGTCATACGTTTAACGGTGAGCGAAGCACAGACAATCGCGACTCAACATTACCCGCGACCTGTGGGGGGGGGGGGGGGGGGAGCAAAGGGCGCCCCTCCCCTGTGTGTTTTTTTTTTTTGCAGATAACTCAGAAAAGGCAGCGAGTGTCTACATGAAACTTTCAGTACCTCTCTGGGCATTAATTTTACACAGCTTATGAAAACAATAGGTCCCAGGTCATCTCAGGTCATGAGCTATAGAGGTCAAACTGAGGCCATGTTCATGCGGCTCTCTTACCCTATGGGGTGGAATTAAACGTTTTTTTTTGCAAGGTTTTGCAAAAATAGCTACAGTTTATTTGTTGAATCAGCACTAAGTTTTATCTTCTGGCAATTGGAAGTTAAATGTCTAAAAAAAAACAGAACACTCAGTTTTCGCCTCTGTTATGTTTCAAACCGGCCGAAAAATGGCTCCAAATTTAGGTTGTCCGTCCTATGCCCAACTTTACCCTACAATTTGACCTTATTTGACCTTCCTGTGACGTCATAGGACCAAGAAAAATGGTCAAGGAGGTTTCTGTGGCTGCATATGTATGACATATCTTCATAAAGACTCGAATATTCACAATTTAACCCTAGCATGTGTGCGGCGTTTGCCAGCGTCTAGCGTGTAGGGAAGGGGTCGGTTGGACCCCCTTGCCGTTCGGCCCCTGATTGAGCTAGAGCTTCGCGGAAAAAGCGAGCGTGTTGCCCGTGACGAGAGAAAGCCGATGATATCCAATTTTAAACTCCTAGGTCATTGGTTGGCCTTCCAGGTCAGGAAATGACCCAAAAGTCGGGAAAATCGGGACCTGCTAGAACTTCGTATAGTGAAGCTGTTATGGGGTTTTTCTGGGTGCTGATCACGTATTTCATGTTAGTTTCGATTACAGATAATGTCTTCATGCATTCAGGCCAGGTCGGGACAGGTCAGGTTAGGTCAACCAGTAGACGTCCTGCTGGCTATCCATAGTAGGTGTCAACTTATACCACTGACGGCGTCGAACATGTTACGAAGGCACCAAAACTGCTTCGTACATCTTCAAATGATGCTAAATTCGAAATCAGCTCCAAAACCACCCTAAAAACATGTAAAACACGAAAAAATTAAATCAAGGTCATTAAGGGTCAATGACCTTGACCTGACCTTCGCGTGACCTTGATACCATTACCCACCGTAATAGATGTGAAGAACATCATTTCACATGTTTGGACGTTTACAATCACAAAAAGACTGGAAACACGCGGAAAATGTGAGCTGACATACGCTGAATCGCGATTTCGGCCAAACATAGTCTGTTGTTGTTGTTGGTTTTCCCTCCATCCGCGGCAGAGCCGCGGTGTAGCTTCAGCTCTGGAGGGCCCTGAAGGCGGCCACCAGGGCCGCCACCGTGTCGCCGCGCCTGACCTCCTCCACCGTCGGCAGTATGTTGCCGACCGCCGGGATTCTGAGGCGAACCCCCATCAGTCCCGGGCAGGTCAGCAGGATGTGTCGAGGTGTGTCGGCTTGCTCGCCGCACAGCGGGCAACGAGCTGCAGGGCAGTCGAGGTTCCTGCACTGTGGGCAGTCCGCAGATGGGTTTCGTCCGATGGAATGGAGAAACTGCGCCGAGCCGCTCCAGCGCCCAGTGCGGATCTGGTGGACGTCTACTGCTGTCGTCCTGTCCATGTTGGTGAGAGGTGGTGGCCATCTTGCACCCATAAGCTCTCTGTACCACCCCGTTGCGGCTTTGCGGTCGGGGTCCGGGTATGTCGGCCTGTCCCTTGCGGCGCGGTCTCTGGCGGTGCGGACTGCCGCTCGGTAGATGGTGTCTACATCGAGCATGACGTCTTCTTGTGCCAGCGTCGCAGCCTCGTTTGCCAGGGCGTCGGCGGACTCGTTCTCTGGGATCCCGCAGTGGGATGGAACCCACTGGAGGGTGACCGTTCGGTCTCCGGTGGTGAGCTCCAGTAGCTGCTTCCATATGGCAGCGCCTCTGGCCGAGCGCTGTGCCGACGGACCCTCTCTCAGCGCCGCTATCGCCGACAGCGAGTCGGTACATATAACGACTGGTTCTGGTGCGTCCCGCTGGTGTTCCAGGATGTGGTCCAGCGTCACCTGCAGGGCGACCATCTCCGCTCGAAAGCTGGAGCAGAGTGTGCCCGCTGGGACACGGAGCTCGGTGCGGCTGTCATCAGCTCCGACGATGAGGGCGCCAGCCCCCCCGCGGAGGATCCCGCCGCTCGACGAGCCGTCGGTCCACGCCCACGTCGCGCACTGCGTCATGGACGCCAGGTGATGGAGCGCTGCGTCTCTCTTCGTGGACCTCGCCGCACCGGCGGGCAGCGCGCCAATGCTCAGGTTGAAGGTGATCTTGCCGGTGGGCGTCCACGGTGGCGGTCGCTCTGGTAGTAGGGCCTCAACCGGCAGCTCGACCCGTAGCTCCCGCAGGGCCTCCCGGCCTACTTGGCGCCACCCCGTGACCAGCTTGAGGCGCTGAGGGGGGTCAGCCATGGCGACCACTCGGAGGGGGTCCTCTGGCGGGAGCGCGGCAGCCTTCGCGAACATACGCGCCGCTAGCGCAGTACGTCGTGCCGCGACAGGCAGCATGCCAGCCTCGGCCGTCACACCGTGGTGTGGTGCGGAGTGCATGCAGCCCGTGACGATCCTCGCCACGGCGCGCATCTCCCGCTCCAGGATCTCGATGTTGGACTTGGACACTGCCGGCAGCCAGGCAGCAGCCGCGTGCTCTATCGCGCCGCGCACGTAGCCGTTTGCGACGGCGCGCAGCTGCTGTTCTTGCAACCCCCAGCTGCGGCCGGTGAGACGTCGGAGTTGGGCCGCTCGGGGCCGGACGCGCCGACGGAGACTTCTGCAGTGCGGGCCGAAGCTCAGCGTCCTGTCTAGCGTCACTCCCAGAAGTTTCAGCTCAGGTCCCCCTTCCACCAGTTGACCCGCCACGTGGATGTGACAGTCGACGGCGTCTCGGGGGTTCTGGGAGAGGACGAGCAGCTGCGTCTTCTGACCCGCGACCTCCATCTTACTCCGGCGGGCCCACTTCACGAGCGTGTTGGCCGCCAGCTGCGCCCGGTCCCGGGCCACGGCGATGGAGTTGCCGGCGCAGAGCGTCGAGGTGTCATCGGCGAACATGAATGGGGTTGTGCCGGGCAGGGTCTTGAGCGTTGCTACGAGCGGCGCCGACCATAACAGAAACAGGGTCGGAGAGAGGACACTGCCTTGCGGCAGGCCCGCCCTGTACACGCGCTCGCCACTCTTCGTGCCGTTGACTTCGACACAGGCCCTCCGGTCTCGAAGAAATGCCCACACCCAGGTGTTGTAGCAGGCCGGGATTCCCAACTCTGCAAGACGCGCCCTCAGAAGACGGTGGTCGACCCGGTCGTATGCGCGGGAGAAGTCGTATGCCACAAGGACATACTTCTGGGCTGCTTCTCCGTCCGGGACTTGACGTCTTGATGGCGGGCACGGCTTGAGCTGCCATCCATCTTGGACCTGCTGAGTTAGCCGGGCGACGACATCCTCGACGCCCCGCTTCTCGCGGAATCCGACTTGTTCAGGTGGGATCATGTTGCGTTCGGCGGCGAGGTGTGACAGACGGGTCGCGATCACCCGCTCGGCCAGCTTGGCTACGTGGGACGTCAGCGCGATGGGCCGGTAGCTCGCGATCTTCCTTGGGTCCTTTCCCACCTTGGGAATGGGCACTATAACAGCGCGCCGCCATTCCCGCGGGACCACGCCGGACTGCCACGAGCTATTGATGAGGTGAAGGAGGACTTCGCGCGCTCTCGGGCCCAGGTGCTTGATGTGCTCATTACACAGGTCGTCTGGGCCTGGCGACTTCTTGAGTTGCGCCTGCGAGATCTGTCGCGTCAGTTCCTCCTCGGAGAACGGTGAGCAGTAGCCGGACTTCCGCCCCCAGCACTCATGGCACGTCTTGACGTTGGACGCCTTCAGTCTGGTTTTGGTGTCGCGGTCCACCTTCCGGTCCCGCACCTGCTTCGATACGGTCGCATAGGTGCGGTTGAATGCGTTCGCCTTGTCCCGGTCCGACACGAGCGTCCGGTCGCCATCGCCATCTTCCATCGACTCAGCGGCTCTGTGCTGGTCGTCGGAAGCACCCTCCCACATCTTCAACGTCTTGTGGACGCGGCCGAGGCTCTGATGTTTGTTGAGGGTGGTGGAGACATATTCTCTGAACTGTCTCTGGGAGACACGTCGTTCCACAGATGCTGCTCTGCGTTTTGCCTCCACCCAGCGTTCCTTGGCCGAACGGTCCCCGCTT